CTACTGCACTGCTACTGCTACTACTACTGCTCCTACTCGACATTGTGCGGGCGGCAGGGCGCCTCTTGAAGATGGAGTACCGCAAGTTCCGCGGGAAGCGGCCAGCTGTGCCGAGGGTGGACACTGCTGCCACCATGACGGGATAAAAGAGCCGAGCATTGCTTTATGACACCGTTAAACTGTGGCATACTCGATCTCAAAAACTCTTTTGTATTGATAAGGCCCAAGGTTTGCGACACACATCTTCAGGGACCTAACTTATGACATGGTTCTGCAGACGCTAGTGTGCATGAGTTTATGTAGAGGTTCTTGGAGGGTCCTCTGTCCAAAGCTTCACTTGCAAGCCCGTCGTTCAACCCACGAAGCTCCCCGAGCCGCAGTCCGTGAACCAGAGACATTCCCCGGAACCCCAAAGCACTGCAGCATAAGCGACGCACATCTATCCCGAATCCTCCTAAAGGTCCTGAAACAAGAGTCCAAACCGTTGGCACAAAAAGCCAAAACACGAGTTCTGAAGATCTGAGCCTATGCGCAAGGCCCAAGGCGCCTAAACCACGTGGAAAAAACGATCTCAACCCCTTCACCTCAGACTGAGGCCCGGGCCTCCATGGCCTTCAATGCAGCGACGCAGGAGGCGAACAAGGGTTTTGGGTTAAGAGGGGCTTCAGGGTTTCCAGCGTGCGGCTTCGAGTCGTGGTCTCCTCAGGGTTGAGGGCCCTCCAGCTTGGGATTAAGTTGCGGCTCATCGGTTTCAGGCACGCCGACCGGACTCAAGGATCAAAGGCTGAGCGATGAGGAGGCTGAGGAGGCCTGCGAGAGTCGAGGAGCCTTAGGGGCTGATGCCCAGACCCGCGCAGCTGCTTGGAGCTTGCGGGTTGCTGGCATTCGAGGAGAAGGACTCTCATGAGGGTTTGTGTGCCGAGCCTGATGCTGTGCGATCACTTGTTGCCAGGTGAAGTGTAGATTACGTGGCCAAGTGTGTGCTACACAACAGAAGTGCCTAGATCACAAGAGAGCAGGTCAGAATTTGATGCATCAGTGCAATACAGCTGTAAACAGCGAAACTCCACATTCAGATCCTTATGGTATTGTGGTATGAGCCCAAGAGAAGCCACTGTGCTTGAGGGCGAAGGTGCACAGCCGTCGCGCTGTCTGCGGCAGAGTGGGCTCACGAAGCCTCATAGTCATAATCCGCATAGACTCAGCGCCGGAGAGCAGAGCGAGGGTCTTCAGGAGGCGAGAATTCCCACGCACTTATCCTCTGGTGTAAGTCACAGCCGGAGGAGAAGACTGAAGGTGTGCAAACGTGTTCGAGCCCTTTTTCTGACAAGTCTCGGTCAATATAGGGGAAAGCCTCAAAAGGCATCCCTGGAGTAGGGGCTGAGCGAAGATCTTGCCTCAACAGGTGCCCGTCTACTACTTCACTCACCCAGAAAAGATCACTACACGGGATTGTCAATAGTCACCGGGCTGTAAACCTTTCCCGCCTACGCTGACAATCGGGGAACACGCAACCCTAAACCTAAAATCCTAAAATCTGAGATGTCAGGCCGGGCCCTCTGCAGCGCCGGGCAGCCAGAAACCCTGACCTTTTGCTGCCTGCAGATCAAAAATGACTCCTTGCCGCGGAGAGAGTTTAGGGTTTAGGGCCCAGGGGAGAGCCAAGTGCTAATGCGACATCTGTACTTGTCGCCTGTATTCTCGCATTATTTTGGGAACTGCTAGCATCCAACTTGTCATTAGCTCATTAGCTGGTGTTTCGGATACTAGTCCCAGCATTAGTTCTGAACAGTATACTTCAAATGAAGTTATTGGAACTCTCGATGATGCTGTGAATACTGAGGAGGATATGGATGAGGATGAGAATGGTGATGATGATTGATGGTGGCAATGGCAACAGTGATGCGGATGCTGAAGACGTTTCTGATCATGCCCATTGCTATCTATACGGCAAGTAGTAGTGCCAGTAGTCCCTGGAAAACACGCAACTGTGCAGCTCCTAGCCAAACCCATGTTGATGCATCTAGCTCGGAATACCTATCTGACTTTCTAACGGTCGTCCACCTGTTTAATTGTCTGCCTGGCTGGCATTTAAGCTGTCTACATCTACATCTTGATCTATTTCCATATATTGCATTTACTTGTGTATTGCTTTGTTTATTCACGTATTTAACCGGTTGGCCCTTGTATGTAAACGATGTTATGTATTCGTTCATTTGTACACTGTCCTGTTTACACTTATGTATGCATCTATTTGCCTATGCGAAGTGCACTTTCGCACAGAAGGCCCGACAGTTTTGGCACGAGAAGGTGGATTTTCCCTGGGCTCTTGTCCCAAACCCTTCGGCCTTCGGCTCGCTCGACTTGCATAGGCCCGTCCCTCCTCTCTCGCTGTCTCTCTCTTTCTTTATCTCTCCCTCCGCTCGTAGTCTGTACGGTATGTGGAACGAATGCAGCACAGGAGTGCTGGCTGCCAATTCAACATGGCTTGTATGAGAAGCGTGAACACGCGCCTGCCTCAACTTTTCTTCCCCGACGCTGGCATTTGGCTGCGTGCAGATCCCCGATGTAAGAGGCTCCAGCCATGACGGCGTGCCAGCATTGCCAAACTGCGAGCTGGCACAAATGACCAAGAGCTGCAGACGGCGCTGAGCTGCCATGGACGTTTGGACGAAAAACCTCAGCAAAGACTTCGAGCGGACGGAGCCCTACGTCCCGGAGCTACTCAGTGTCAGACCGAAAGTCCTGCGGATCAGCAACATGTTCACGCATAAGGCTTGGCTATCTCCCATGCATTTCCAGCTTCTATTGCATAATTCTCATGTAGAGTCCTTCTCAGGCTTTCACCGTATCAAAATTGGGAGGGTCATGGTGCGAGCTGCTGCCCCAGTGACGCGGTGACTCAAAGCTCTTCTGTGGCCAGGAGTGTGCTTTGCTGCGTTGGCTCATGCACGGGGCCCTAGCACGGCGCTGGCAAAGCTGCAGTGTTTCTTCGAACCGTCACCATTTCTCGTTGTTCGTCCGCCGTCGTGGGCTGCACTGTTCTTGTCGTCGTCGTCACATGTATTAGCGGTGGTCGTCGGCGCGAGGCAAACAGCATGCCGAGAAGGCAAAGAATGAGCTGACACAGCTGTGATACTATTGTAGCACTACTGTACTGCCGTTCACGGCAGCATCATCGGCAGTACATGTTTCTCGTGATGAGGCTGGAGGCGCTTATCTACTTCGGTGACAGCTCCGAGATGGTCACGACACGGCCGGGTCCACACACTATTTTAAGACTGGAACCGGTTCTAGCCCTGAGGCTTAACGCTACAAGCTCGCAGCCGTAAACGCTGAGGGCTTTTGGGGAACTCGGTGCTTTCTTTCCAGGCTTCAATTTCCGAGTCCATACCTGCACACCTAACCTAAAGCCGACAAACCGCAACGACTCCTGAGAACCCAACAATGGCCCAACAACGACACCACATGTAGTGCCCCACTGCACGAGATTCTGTCGCAAAGTCGTCAGGGTCAACGGGCTTGGTCAGTATTGTACAGGCAGCAAAAAGATGAGGAGCATCTGGCCTTGCCTTGCGGTTGTAGTAAAATCACGGTAACAAGAATGCGCGTAGATCCTAACCATCACCTGAATTAAATTCTTGAATTTTACAGAGCCCAATCCCGAAACGCTCAACACAGAACATACATAAATCAAAAGGGCCATTCAACGGAAGAGTGAGGAAGCCTGAAGCTGTCAGGCCAGGATCTGTCAACTCCTCTTCTGGCTTTGGTGGCTCGGCAGTGGCTTTTGCGATCAGAGTTCGGTAAGGGTTTAGGGGTTGGCGGTTTGGGGCTCAAGGGAGAACAGCATGTATATATATATATATATATGTATGTATGCTCACCCCCCCCGGCGCCAGACCATCGCTAAAGCCGAAAAGGCTCACGTGTACCCTCGTTGGGTTGAAAATTTCAACTTATATCTCGAGCCTGTCGTTGTCAATAGTTTGCTCAACCTTGGCTTGTTTAAGATCCGCAGCTTGCACTGAACCTCAATCAAGAATTCCAGCATCCGTTTGCAAGTCTTTATGCGAGATGATTGCCAAATACTTGTTGATGAACTTCTCGCTTTTGTCCTATACAAAACCAGGTATGAGTCAGTGATCTCTGCGTAAAGATGTTACTCTGCGAAGACCGAACAGTTCACTGATTGTTTTAGTCTGGTTATTAAGCACGGAGCTTTCCTCTTTGTCCGCGATTAAAGCCTTCGATGTTCAAAAATTGCTAGATCACGCCTGTATGCTTAAAGCAGCATTCCGAAGCAACAGCAAGCCCGATATGCTGCCTTGAGTTATGCACTTCGTAAGATAAGTATGTACCGTTGTGTTTTCATGCTTGGTATGGCCTTAGCAGGTGCTTACAGTACAGACCTCTGATCGGTACAATGGCAGGAGTACACAGCAACGTTATAGCATACATGGTTGTTAAATGGTCATCATTTGCTAGGTATAAGATTTTTACAGTGAATTACACAGAAGACAACACCCAGTTCGACCAACGAAGGAATGGACATGACTTGCTGGAACCCATGCACGGACTTCAGATGAAATAAACTCAGCACAGGCTGTTAAGGTTTGTTGGTATAGGGACAAGATATCAAGAACCAATCTGCTGAATACAAAACTTAACGAGCAGCCACCTATTGAAATATTTTGTATTTTCATCAGTACCAATCCTAAAGCCTCAATGTATTATCGGGCACAAGTGTTAACATTCAGGGCTTACGACTTGATAGTTACACACTAAGCAGCCTGTGAATAAACACAGGATTCAACAAGTGATACATGTACCTGATAATGTTTAGTTGGCCTGAAATATTGTGAATACCAACTGTTGAACAATGCACCGACAACCCAGCGCTAATCACGCAGGAGTGGTTAACAAAGAAATATGCATTTTGGAGCACATGAGACATGAGGAGGTCCAGAGTGTTCATTGGGTTCGTAATACTGAAGGAAGCAGAATGGCAATTCTAACCACAGTAACAGCGAGATTGGTAATGGTAACTATAACATTGGTAAATGTAACACTAAGAATACACTGATTACACTTCATACGATGGTTCGTGCAAAGCAGGATGTCTTCGTTATTTAGGTATGGCTGAGAAAGGAAGTAGGAAGCGGATAGGCTTGTAGGTGTATGACGATGATTCCAGTACACATACCGAAACCTACATGTACATCAGTCGGTCACGAACTGCGACGAATAGCTGCTACTGCCGAGATTTACTGTTCCTTTGACAAACACACTTAAAACTTGATTGTAAGGGCTTTAAGATTACACTTATACTGGCATTCATCTGGCCATGCGGCTTGGTGGTGCATATGTGATTGTATGCAGTAGTGAAGTAATGGACCAATGTTAAGTTGATGGTAAAAGGCTGCAAATCAACTAGAAAGTTGTTGGTGTATGAGGGCTTAGTTCCAGTGCACATACCGGTATCTGCAATTTTCATAGTGGGTCACGGACTGCTACGAATAGCTGCTATTGCCGAAGTTTACTGTTCTTTTGACGAATACACTTAAAGCTTTCATGTTACAGCTATACCGGCATAAGCACCAGAACCTGAATGAAATATTTGTTATGAAACGAGTACTGGTACCAGAGAGGTCAGTAACAGAAGGTATTCAAAACTTGTACATCAAACTTACATCAATCAACCAATAGTAGAATCCTAACAAGAACTGTATAGACGCTTTGCTATACATAGGTTTTAGGGTTTGGTGCTTTGGTATAGGGATCTCCGGCAAGAGCGCAGGCGCACAGCACCAGAAATGAAGGACGAGACCACAAAGGCAAAAAATCAGAGATCCAGAGAGAATGCTGGAACTGGTGTGTTTTTTGGGATTTTAGAGTTATGGCTTGGCAAAAATTCTTATACAGTGCCTATTACCCCGTAGTCGTCGGCACGCCAAAACCAAACGACAAAAAACAAAAAAACAAAGCAGTTCCGGCATTCTCGCTGGATCTTCGGATTTTTGGTATCAGGCTCGGGGTGTGAAGGCGCGCGAATACAGACCAAAAAACACACCCAAATTTCCATGCAGTTCCGGTATTCTTTGCGGATCTTTGTTGTTTTTTTGGTTTTCGGCTGAGTGGTTGAAGACAGCCGAAAGCAGTGTTGAATCCCGAACCCACGAAGAAGGCCGGACTCGCCGGGGGCAGCGGAGTTCAAAAAGGGGGTGGTCTGTCATGGTGGGGGGACCATATATATATATATATACATACATACATATGTATAATTATGCGTGTATGTTAGTTGTTGCTCAAAAAGTTGCAGCGGCATACAAGTCCTTTCAGACTAGCCGGCGTAAAATCTAAACCTGAAAGCCTTCTTGACACACCTATGACAACGCGAGCGTAAATGCTGTCGGAGAGCATCTCTTGTGGGATCCGGGTGATATACCACTACGTGTGAGAGGTGCACTTGCCACATTCGACTCTTAGTCACGATCGCATCCCTTCTAAGTAACCGTTCACAAACTCCACACCATCACGGCCTCAACCCTTTCCCGAAGCTCGAGATTCCTTCTGTCCGCCGGCTGTGAGGAAACTTGGGCAAGAGGCCACTGAAACCTGGCTTCTGGTTAGCCTGAAGAAGGGTTGTGTCGCATAGACGTCTTCTACTCTATAAAGGTTACTCAGGATTTGTGTGGGCTGGGTTTTCGGTTAGGACCTTTCTGGTTGCCGGGAGCCTTCCAGAGGTCGTGGGAACGCAAAAGACAAGTAGGAAGAACAACAACAGCCAGAACCGTGCTCGCGCCAGCACTACCACTGCCACCGCCATCAGAAGCAAACGACATGCAAGAAAAGTAGCAGAAGGTTACCTTCGCAACAAAGGCCATGACACAGCTTGCTGAAATTGTGATAGTACCTGGTGGTATTCATCATAGCAGCCCTCCTGCGGACACCGCGGATGCGCAGCCCTAAACCATTGAACAAAGTTCAGTCCACATGTCGCTTTCCATCGAGGATGCGAATGCAAGATCCAGATCAGCTGTCTTTCTATTTTCAGGAGACGAAGAGGTCTTTGTGGGGTATGCTTTGGGGTAGGCCCACAAGCTTTCAGGATCCAGGGTTGGGGCTTCAGGGCTATGTGCTGCTGCCTTTCGGCAGGTAGGCAGGGAGCTGCCGACGGAGTAGCAAGAGTACGCGATGTTAGGGGGAAGCGGTTTAGGGTATTTGGAACAACCCCAAACCCCGAACCTTATTGACAACAATCAACAGGGATTCCCAAAGCCCCTTCATACTGTCCAGGTAGTCGTGTCGTGATAACCCCATCGCGACCTTTGCGATGCTTTTAAAGAGAAAGGCTTCTCTACACAGTTCTTCAGACCCTTCAGCCGTTAATAAGCAGAGGTGCAGTGGAAGCACCAGTTGATGGTTTTGCGGCGTCGGTCGGGTCTGGTTGTCAAATCCGCAGTGACGTCCCTTAACGGGAAGCCCAATCTTCGGTCCACTGGAGAAACTATTGCAACTATTGCTCAGACATTACTTGAACACGCCCAGCACCATAAAGTTTAAAGTGTATCTGCCGAGGAGCCCCCAGACTTTATGATCGCGATGATGCAGAGAGCCTTTGTTTCGGAATGTACAACCGTGATGCCGTTACACACAGGCGTGGAAGAAGAATTGCACTGCCTTGCTCGCTTGTGTTTTCTTATTCCAGTCAACTTATATAGACGTCGTCCTTATAGAAAGATCAGACGTCCACAGAGTTCATAATGCTTCATGCTTCTAATCTGTAGGTGCATTAGAGACTGCCTAGGAGTGGGCGCAATGGTCGGCGTACATCCCAACAATGTGGAGGCAGCGCGAGCACTGACGGGGGCCTCGGGCATGTAAGAGTGCTTTAGAAGACCTGAATCTACGGCTCATGGCTTGCGGCTTAGGGCTCGGTATTAAGGGGGCAGAAGTCTTCCAACCATTTCCAACCCCTGAAGGCTATATACCACCTCTACAAGCCGAATGCAGAGCTGGCGAATCTCCACTTGGATAACTTCAACAAATATTTGTGGCCCCATCGCTTTATGTCTGCCTCACTGTTCCTGGATGACTACGAGGACGGAGGCCCTTTCGGTTTGCTCCGCTGAGGTTGATGTTCTGGCTGTTCCTGCTGTCGTCACCATACATATATATATATATATATACATACATATATCTCATATCCGTTTGGGCGCAGTCCCTGCATTTGTATCGCTTGCGCTCCGCAACTTGAATTCGCCCCTAGAGGTACGACCGGCACGGAAGGCGATGTGGGCTTTCAGCATGTATCTCAGTTGACGTGAAAACCCCTGAAGTCCGAAGCCTGGACTGCCTTAGCCCCGTGCTGTCAGCCAGAATGGTGAGTACTTGACCAAACCTCCCACACCGCACAACCGGCAAGGTGGAATTTGACTTTGACTCAGCTAGCCTACTCTCTTCGCAAACCCTTGTTCTCCAAGTCCTTTACTGAGAACTAAATTAGAAACAACTGCGTCACCTCGGCCTTGAAGAGGCACCGTCTTCCCGCTGTTTCTGGATACCATCAGACCGGCTCTTGGTTTTGCTCGGGCACGGCTTTAGATTGAGAGTTCCTTAGGAATCAGTTGTTTAATGCTTGCTTTAGTTTGAGCCCGACTGGATATTGCAGGGCATTCACTACGCTGTTCTGTGGAGTGCTGCGGTATCTTACACTGTTCTAGGTGTCGGGGCTTACATTGCCTTGTCGGCGGGCATGAGCAGGCCATCAGATCACATGGTTTTTTGGCCGCAGGCGACTTCGTTCTAGAGTTTGGTTCGGAGCTTCAGGGGAGTTCGGTTTTTCGCCGCTTTGTTTCTTCACGCGCGTCTGACGAGACTCCGCCTTACACAATTTGGCCCTTGACCCTGAACACCCCGCCACAGTGAACAAAAAGGCGCACCATCCTTTTGAGCCTGACAAGCATTTTGAACACATCTTCTCGCTTGCCAAGGCGGGGACGGCGAGGTTGGGGTCTCCAGCGTTGCGCAGGAGCATGACGAGGCCTGGCCTAGTCAAAACTGGAGACCCTAACCCATAACATGTGTAACATTTGTGTACATATATATATATATATATACATACATACACACAAATACATGAATAGCGGGTCGTTCCAGGCAACCTAAGCTGCACAAGCCATGCAGCCTGTGACCAGCTTCAGCTGCTATTCAGCCTCCAACCCCAGGGTCGGAGGCAGAGGGCTAATCAGCTAATCCATTCCCAGGAAAGTACAGACATCGTCAGGATGCGGACTCTCCGCAACAACATTTCTACGCCGGCCACTCTTACTTCGGTCAGTCGAGATGACCAAACTAATGGGCAGAGTTCGCTTTCTTGAAAGCTAAACCAACAAGCACTTAGCCCTAAACAGAGTTTTGAATCTCTGAACCTTTAGGTTTCGGGCGTCTGCAGCAAGGGACGAAAGTCTCACCATGCAGTTAGATCGCACGTCAACCGAACACTACGCAACAAGAAATCAAAGGATAAACAAATCCGAGAACGCTCTAAACTATAAAGACCTTCAGCACTCTGCAGCTCATTAGGCCCTAATCATTAGGCCCTGAAGCACCCTAAACCCAAAACCCTGAGTTCAAAGCCGATAGAAGCGATGGAACAGGTCAGAGCCTGGCAGAGGGCCTTGAATGATGCTCCCATGCACAGTGCGCCTTTTTCCGCATTCGGACATTCATCGGGTTTTCGGATGGTATTTTCGGGTTAGGTTGTATGAAGTTCGTGAATTCAGTGATTAAGTAAGGCTTAGGCAAATGTCGATACTTCAAGTACCAGTCAAGGTCGAGGCGTTCCAATGCCTCCCACCTTTCTGTCTGGCTGGCTCCCACAAAACTGCGACTGCCTCTGCCACTCCCCAACACAGAAGCCCCCGATGAGATGCCCGCACAGCAGACAAGAGCCTGCACACTCACCGGCCTGACGACAGCCACCAGGCTCGAATCCCAGCTCCAACTCGTACCGCAACTGACCTTCGGAGGTTCAAACCCCTCCACTCAGTACCAGTAGCCTTCATTCGAACCCGAACTGGCGCGGCCTTCCCTCGAAGTGAAACCGTTCCACCCTCGACCTCGCACACAACAGTGGTGGTGGTAGTAGTAGTAGTAGTAGTAGTAGTTGTAGAAGTCGTAGTAGTAGTAGTAGTAGTAGTAGTAGTAGTAGTAAGGAGTAGTAGTAGTGGTAGTGGTAGTGGTAGTGGTAGTGGCAGTGGTAGTGGTAGTGGTAGTCGTAGGTAGTAGTAGTCGT